TTGTTTAAATAAGTACAAGATAGACAGGGAAAGATTAAAAAAAGAGAAAACAAAGTTTTTTTATAATCAAATAATCAGTAATATTGTCAACACTAAAAATAACATTTAATAATTACAAATATTTTTAAATTAATTGTTTTTGCTATTAAAATCAAATTTTTTTGTATTTGTTTGTATTTTTTTTTTAAATTACACTAAAATGTTTTGTAAATGAAATACAATTATTTATTTAATAGAAATAGAATGGAAAAACATCTGTCAACAGCACATTGACAGTATATATATATAGTATTTTTACTTTATACTGTATATATATTTCTTCTTGTTTTGCTGTGTTTATTGGATGGGAAGTGCCCTTCAATGTTCCGTCCATTAACTGAAAACAGGCTAGAATAATCTATTCTTGGGATTTAAGAATCGATATCATTCCGTAAAAATGAGAATCGATTAATATCGAGATATCAATATTTCTTACCCAGCCCTAATAAATAGTATTGTATACCTGAGCAGGTATCATGTGATACTCCTTGGATTCTGAGCAGTGTATTATAATACAGCAGATTTTCTGCATGTGTAGAGGATTGTGTGGACTGCTGAAGATGTTTAATATACTCTGAGTAGCGCTGGAAACAGCATGAGGATCTCTTGTTTATCTGCTCTCAGCGGGAGAGATTTATGCTGCTACACGCTGGAGACTCTTGAGGAAGCAGTGCAGTCCTTCATCATCACCTTCACACCTGAGAGCGACTGCTGTGTGTTTTACACGTGTCAGGGGTTAAAGGTCATGGGTGATAAATGAGAGGATGAGGCAGTACTGAATCCACTGCTGTGTATTGACTCATTTACAGTGACTATTTTACTTTTATTTAAAGTGACTACTTTTATTATTATTTTTTATTCTATTTAGCTTTTATTTTTATTTCAGTTTTAGTAATTCAGGTACTTCAACTTAATCTTTATTTCAGCATTTTCATTCAACATTTCAACATTCTTTTAGAAATGTTTTTAAAAGTTTTTTATTTGATGTTTGTGTATATATATATA